TTAAAAATATATATATTTAATGATCTGAGAGAAAGATGGAGGCAAGATAGGTTGGAGAAAGTGAGCGAGAATTTGTCTACTGGTTGACTTTCCAGGTGCTTGCAGTTGTTAAATATTTTATAATATTGGACCAAACACTCTGGAAGTCATCAAGAAAAAATAATGTGATTAGGCCAAAATACAAAAATTTCAGTGTGGGGAAAGAAGCCACCACAATCCAAGGATAATAACAAATTAAGGATAAGAACAGAAAAAATATTTCAAACCTGAAAAAGGCCACTTTATTAGTATACAAAGAGAATAAAAAGACAGAATAAAAAGACAAACAGAAGAAAATACACTAGGAAAGAACAATATATCAGCAATGTTTCTTTTTAAACAGGTTATGAAGGTATATATATGCATATGAATGTCACACTTCGTACCTATGTGCGCACATGCACTTTCAAGTGGATAAATGATTTTTCAAGTGATACAGGATTGTTAGAAAAATTTTACTTTTCATTGAACGTTCTTCCCTGTTATTTTAAATGCCATGGATTTGTACTGCTTTTACGACTCAAAACCAAAATTAACACCAAATATCCCAATTGTTTGAACTTTCTATAACATCTCTTTTCCTGCTGACAGTATGCCAATATGGGGTAAAACTATTTTTTAAAAAAGGAGTGATTTACTACAATCTATCAAAACAAAGGCATTAACTCCAGAGTAAAGAAAGGTAAGTAATTAAAAATAGCTCAGTTTAATTTGTGAACTTACTTTCCTATCCATAGCTTGTTTCTGATGCATACAGTGAAAAAGTGAAGTAATGCCTACTATTTTTACTTTGCTTCTATGAAGTTTAGAACTAGAGAGCTTTCTTTAGGAATGCATTTGCCTTTATTACCTTTGGGACTTCCATCCTCCATGGCTCATCACACTCAGACTTATCTCTGCCCACAGCAGGTTCCCCTCACCCCTGTGAAAAAGTGACCCTTACACCAAGATTCCAGCTATTAATAAACAAAAGCTGCTTCAAAAGCTATGCTCTGCAGTGCTGGAGCCAATAGGCAAGGAACAATGAATTAATGTTCTGATTTGAGTTTCACTCGTTGATAAATATTATACAAGATTGTATAAAGATTTGATTATTTTATTTGAAAGGCAGAGTTCCAGAGAGGGAGAGATGGAGGTCTTCCATCTACTGGTTCACTCAGGTGGCTGCAAAGGTCTGGGCTGGGGCCAGACAGGATTCAGGAGCCAGGAGCTTCAATGAGGTCTTTGTGAGTGGCAGTGACCCAAATACTTGGGTCATCTTGCACTGCTTTTCCCAGGCCATTAGCAAAGAGCTGAATCGGAAGTGGAGCCAGGATAAAAACTGGAACCCTGTACATTGCCAGCACTGCAAGCTACAGCTTTGCTTGCTGTATTACAATGCCAACGCCATCAACATCTGCTGCATTTCCCAGGTCATTAGCTGTTCCCAGAAGTGGAACAGCTGGCATTGGAAACGGCACCCACTTGAGATGTTAGTGTTGTAGGTTGTGGCTTTACCCTCTGTGCTACAATGCCTGTCCAGCATAAAAAGTTTCAAAAGCATATAGACAAATAAATGAATGAATGGACTGACAATTACTGAGAAATACTGCATAGCAGAATTGGAAGAAAATGTAAAAGTTTTCAAGTCTGTAAGAATTCCATAAATGATCACTGTCATCATACTGTTTGCAAATGGTTACTCAGTTTCCTTGGGAAAATCTTACCAATTTTTAATCCTGTTCTTAAAGCAGCCTAATCCAATTTTAGACACATTGCCAGTGTTGGAATATAGACGTTTGAGGACAGAAACACAACTCATAACATTTTCTCAGATATTTTTATTACTAATCCAGGGTTATTTATTTTGTTGTTTCTGATATTCTCCATACAAATTTCAACTTCTCTATTTGCTTATTTATCTTCTTGAATTCCTCCTGAAAGTTTCTAGTCTGTTGTTCTCCAAGTTAGGTCAGTGTATCTGTATCAAAATTTTATATTTTCAGTTGCTGTGCAACATTCTCCTATGCAAAAGTCTACTATTCCAGTGCAATGCCCACTTAAAAAAATTCAGTCTATGGGGGCCCGGCGCGGGGGCGCAGTGGTTAAGGTCCTCGCCTTGCACGCCCAGGATCCCATAGGGGCGCCGGTTCTAATCCCGGCAGCCCCGCTTCCCTTCCAGCTCCCTGCCTGTGGCCCGGGAAAGCAGCAGAGTACAGCCCAAAGCTTTGGGACCCTGCACCCGTGTGGGAGACCCAGAAGAGGCTCCTGGCTTCAGATCGGCTTAGGATCGGCATAGTATTGGCCGACCGTTGCGCCCACTTGGGGAGTAAATCATCGGACGGAAGATCTTCCTCTCTGTCTTTCCTCTCTGTATATCCGCCTTTCCAATAAAAAAAATAATAAAAATAAATCTTTTAAAAAAAATTCAGTCTATGAATTAAAGATTACTCAAAGCGACATAGTTGAGGCCATCTACTACAGTTAAGTAGAAGCATAGTCTGCAAGTTAAACAGAAGTATAGTCCAGACTGATAGTGTAGTATTTTAACCTGTAGCTAGAAAGTCAACCCTACTCCTAAAGTAATACTCATCTGCTTATTTATTCATACCCTTCATAGTGTTCAGCAGAGTTTTAGCCTTCACTTGAAAAATAAGATACAATTACAAACTAAAGCCTAAAGTTCTATAGTTCACTAAAATGTTTCAGAAAATAAAGCAGCCATCTCCATTATCCAGCCACACACTCTCTCCAGTACTTATCCCTGTTTATTTTTTATCCCAAATTCAAGGAAAATATTTAACATGAAAGACATGTAATTGGGTTTGTTTCAAAACAGCCATGTTTTTCAAGAGATCTGCTTCTGGATGCTTCAGCAAGCAGAAGTGCTTATAATTTTGTTTTTTTAATTCATGAAGATTTATTTATTGAGTATATACTACATGCACACAGTAATTTGAGGCAGTTGTTACTTGCAGAAAAGAAATTTTCTCGAAATCCTGTATGTTTTATTAGACATTGGAAACCCATAGGATCCCAAGAGGATGGTGTAATACTTCACAGTCTTTGTCACTCAGAGGCTCAAAGACGAGAAAATACACGTAAAATTCTTTTCTTGGAATGCTGCAATAATAGTATGCCTCTGTGTCAATCTTAGTATATGAAAAATCTTTGGACAGTTTTTTACAGTTATGGCAGATGACTTTAAAAAATCTGATAAAAGTGTACTGATGACGTATATTCCAGATATTAAGCCATATATAAGAGAAGTATCTTCACTCGAATAAGCTTTTCTAGAACAAGCAGAAGAGTTAATGTTAATGAGATAAAATTATATGAACATGTTCATTTAGAAAGGTCGGCAACTGTTCTCAATTTCAACTTAAAGTGAGCAGTGAATTTCTTGGTCACGAAAATAAAAACTAGCCCCAGGTTAAGCAAATTTAACATACAAATATTACCTCAATTCATTTACAAAGTGCCACTATTTATTCAATTATAAGTGTAAATGTTATGTCATCTCTAAAATCTTGGAGAAATGTCAGTTAAAGATGCATATAATATGTAGCCTTAGGTCACAAGTCTAAAGCCTAGTATTTGAGTTCTTAAATAAATAAGTAAAATAATAACACTGTTTACAAGTAAAAGAACAGAACTTTGAATAGATGGGAAACTAATTAAGAAACTAAGCTGAAGATACAATGCTACCAAATACTTTTAAGCAAAACAATTATACCTATTCAGAGACTATGTCATATCTTCAAGTAACAGCCTTTTTCCAGAGGTTGAACAGCAGCAAATTCTCTACTTCCAAAATCCATTTTTCTTCTCTAAATTTACAGCTTTAAGAAATAAGACAGGGCTTATGAGTTGAATTATATTCCCATAAAAGTTATCTTCAAGTCCTAGCATCATAACCTGTGAATGAGATCATATTTGGAAATCCTGGACTGCCTATGCAGTTATAATCAAGATGAGGTCAAACTGAAATAAGGAAGGTCCTACTCTAATAAGATTAGGTCCTCAGATGCAGAGAAGAGACAAAGACACTCCAGTGGTGGGGACTGATGTGATCTGTTTATCAGCGAAAAATGCCAAAGGATTATCATCAACACCAACAAGCTAAGCCAAAGGCATGGGAAAGAGACTCACTTCCAGACTTTCAACAGCACTGCTGTACTAAAAGCTTAGTTTTGCATTTATATACCCTCCTGAACTGAGAGAAAAAAAATTCTCTTTATTTTAATCTATCAGTTTGTGGTTGTTTACAGCCGACCCAGGAAACCAATAAAGATGAGACTGTTGAGTAAGTCTTGATAATAGAATGGTGGATTTTCTACCATTGTCTATACCTACAATGTCAGGATACACTTAAGTAGCAGAATGGAGCACTATGCTATTGTTATAGCGGAAATCAGTGGGGAGCAGTGCTGAGGAGAAATCCCCAAGGCTATGGAACAGTATTACAAAAAATAAAGAGTTTAAAAAAATACAGAGAATAAAATGATCTGTTTACTTTTATTTTCCTAGTGGAAACAACAGATTTTTTTCAGACTGAGTAAACATCTGATTAATATGTATATAAAAGACATTTAACCCCGAGTAGAAGACTTTTCAAGTCACTTTGCTCTGTAAATGGACTATTTCTCTAAATAATAGTGGTTAACACAGGAGGAGGGCAAGTGTGGAATGTGGGAAGGAGAGAGTGTAAGCCAGAAGAATACCTATGTTCTGAAATCTTTGTTGTGAAATATGAGACATTTGTTCAGGGGTGTGTGTGTGTGGCAAGCTATAAAAAAATAAACCTTCAATGACCCCATGATAGCCTAACACTTTTTTCAAAATTTGGACTGTTCATAGTTTCCATGTAAGCCAGGTTAAGAACCATTGGTACAATGTTTTTAACAATGATATCTGCATCATTTTAATATTTTAAACATGAATTTTGCATTGTTGATTGGGATGCTTCATGTGAACCAGACTTGGTAGCACCACAACAGATTTAATGGCATAAAAACATCTGACATGAATATGATGGAGAAGCTGACAAGGAGTTCAGCTTGTTCTGGGAAAACTGGTTTCCAATCTTTTTGCTAAAGTAAGAATAGCTATATTCTATTTAATCCTTACAATGAATTTACTATTAGCACCCAAACTTTAAAACTGTACAAACTGGGGTACAAGGAGAGTCAGTAACTGACTGTAGGTAGATGACGGGCACAGTTGTGGTTAATCAGTGGGTTTCAAGTTAATCAAGTGATGTTTACAAATCATAACTATTGTATGTCTTTGCCACCTCTAAAGAACATGGAAAATAAAATGAAACAAAAACAGGAGTCTGGGTCAGAAGTCTAGATATTACTGGCTTATTAATATCATGGTGGTAAATAGAATGAATGAATATAGAATAAAAGACTGGGTTTTAATGTTGAATACACAGAAATTAAAGCTATCTGACCAGTACATTGCAGTGGTTGAAGAATAACTGAGTTGAAGGCAAGAGAAGCTATGTAGGTGAGTTAAAGGAAATATTAGAGAAAGCATGGTTTATGGGAACTATTTCCACTAATTAAGCAGTGGTCAATTTCTAGCACCTCTCAAAAAGAAAAAAAACAGTTATATCAAACTAAGAGAAGATTTAGATGTTTAATGTATAAATCTTGGAATGGAAGCTTTAGAAACAACCACCTAATGAAAGATGTAAAAGGTTGTAGGAAGGAACTTCCTTCTCCCAACAGCTGTTTTACTGAATTGACTTGTTGAAGACATTTCTTTGAACATCTATAGAAGCAGACGGCATACATCACCAGCAGTCCAGAAAGATTCAGGTGTGCCTATGCCAGGCGGCAGCTGCTGGACAGCTACACTTCATGGCTTCCTTTCAAGCCCAGTGACTACATAATCAGACCATTGTTGGGACTCTGAGCCAAGAGCAGCACAGCTGCTTTTTCTTTGGTGATCAGGACTTGCTGTCCAAAATTTGCAGAATAAATTGACTGTAATTAGATGAAATTTTGTCCAAAAGAAAGCAAGAATTTTTAATTCTAGTTACTGAAAGAAAACTCAGAAGCTCTACACTGGGCTTTTTAAACATTGATGATCTCCTTTACATTTAGAAAGCTTTCTTCTATGTGCAACTTGAAAAGCAGACATGTTTACAGAACAACCTTACTCTATGAGTTGAATTAACATGACACAAGAAATTCTGAGCAGATCTGTAGTTTCTGTTTATTTAAAATTTGTTAGGAAATTCAATTTTAATGCATGCTACAGAATTTCTTACGAGCTCATTTTCATATAAACTTTATTTTTATCTACTTGAGTCTTTTTTTCCCTAGTTAAATATTTTTATGTGTGTGGAGAGGAATACATATTCCTTACACCTATTTTTCCTTTTAAATAAGGTAAGTTTCTTTTTAGGCAAATATTCCTTTTAAAAGGTAATGCAATTAATTTCAATTTTGAAGGAAGTAGTTCTGCCCAGGACCAGGGCCTGATGGCTTTTCTAGGAGCAGCCATGAAATGAAGTACAAGTTTAATGTAATATTTTAATATACATATCTCATAAAATTTAGCATGTAGAGATATAAAGATATGGCTTTACAAGATTTTGGAGCCCTTTAACATGGTTATTAAATATAAGCAACCAAAAAAAGATTGGAATCACTTTTTAAAATGTCATTAAAGGAACAGAGAATTCTAAAGTTAATAGCAAACATTCTAAGTTTCAATCTATTTAGTTTCTGAAGTTACATATGTTCAAGACAGATTAGAAAGAGTATTGCTCTATAACATTGGTATTTAATTTCTGTTATTTCTATTCTTATTTTGTATGGAAGGACTTAATGCCAACTTATCCAATGTAATATCTCAAATAAGGGCAAAATCATTTTAATGCAATTCTGACAAAAAGTAATGCTTTAAAGAAGAAAAGAAATAGCTACGTATTATAAAACATATATCTTGAAGTAAGCTTTTAGTTAATTATACTTTTTCTACAACAGCTAATGAGAGAAAGCTCATAGTATAAATATTTTATTGCTTGCCTCCAAAAAACAGTTGACATCCTCTGTGGCCATCTGCCAAGGTGATCATTTCTCTGAATCTGATGAAACTAGAGAAGTATCAGGGTTCTATGGAGTGATGAAGAAAATACTTTGTGCTCTTTGTTTCTGGTATTCGTTTCCTTGGTCCTGTTAAGAAGGAAAGAAGGGAAAATTTACTACTCAAGAAACAGATACCCAGTGAGTCTGTAATTTTTTTTTTTTACATTTATATTTAAAGATACGCTAATGTTTACATTAGGTCTTATCTAGAATCCTATAATTTTAGAATCTAACATAAAGGGCTGTGAACTTAAGACTGCAAGGGAAAGAGGCTTTATCAATTATGTAATTCAATCTCCATATTTTACACTATAGGAAGCTGAAGTCCAGAGGTTAAACCCAATCAGCGTTAGTACCACCAGTAAGTGGCAGGGCCAGTGTGTGAAACCAGTTCTTCAATCTTTTCTCCAGTTATTTCTCAGCAGGTAAAAGAGAATCACTTCTTAAAAACAATTGGAATAACAAAGATAACATAATAATATTTAGTTTATTAACTTATAGCATTGTAGTTGCTTATTGGATATATTAAAGACATTATATAATTAAGATACTATTTTATTAAAAAACATGGCCAGTCACCATGAAACTTTTGAATTTTATCCAGACTGATAACCACCTACTTTTGCAAAACTTTCAGTCCTGTAAGAAAGCTATCCACAGAGTAAAAATGATATCTTTTTAAAAAAGCTGGGTTTAGGATAACTTTTAATATCAAATCTCCCAAGACTTCATATCAGATGCATGGTAAAATCCTTAAGTTACTGAGCTCTTTGTTAATCTGACAGTCTCTCTTACCATTCTTCCCCTTGCTTGGTAGTTCACAGTGTTAGAGGTCTTCATATTCTTCTTCAAACACACCAAACTCACTCTTGCTTTAGGTCTTTGAACTTGGTCATCCATCAGTATGGAGCAGTTTTCTAGATAGGTACTGATCTATCCCCAGTGACTAAAATAGTTTCTTCCCCGAGAGTTCCACGGCACGGCTACAGGATCTGATTAAATGTCATCTTCAGAGAGAGGCTTCACCCACCACTTGGATTAAATGATCTCCCCCACTGGTTCTCTCCTTCCTGCCCATTGCCCCTCACTCTCTTTAGACACATCTGGCTCATTTCTGTCAATAATATTTGTGTCTCCCCAAATCATAGTTGTGCAGAATCATAGTCCCTTTGAAGGCCAGAAACATTTTAGGATTGAGTATTTTTTGAGCTTTTAAATATGATATGTACTGTAATTATGAAATGTGCTTTTTATCCGCATCTAAGAAGTCTGTACCAGCATCCAAAAATCAACTGTTACTACACCTGCAGCAAAACATATACTCAGTCTAACTGAGATGTAAAAAGATTACAAATAGTACAAAACCATTTTTACGATTAAATAAGTTAAGATCAGGTCAGTATTGCAAAAGTTGTTTTCAGAGATTGTTGACTTTGGAATTGCACATAAAAGAGTGTGAAATATTAGTCTGTTCATTTATCTTCCCCATACACTATACACAAGAACAAAGAATTCTCTTTTCTTTTTCCATGATATCGTTCCATAGGCACAAGGATTACACTTCTACCCTCCCCACTCATTGTTATCCCCCATATTACTATAGTCCTTCAGCAGTCACAAGTCCACCATTCTACTAAGTGTATCATGCCATTGCAGGTATAGACAATGGTAGAAAGTCTAGCATCCTGTTGTCAAAATATAATTAACTGTTTTATTGGGAGTCCTCATTTTATTTGGGAGTAGAAATGCATACTGCAAAGTATCTTCACTTCCCAGAATGCTATTCTCTACTATACAGTTCCTCTATGAGAATATGTATATACTTTTTACCTATGTATCTATTTGGTTTGTATTTGGCATGGAGGTTTCTTTATGTCAGAGAGAATATATGATATTTGTCCTTTTGGGATTGCCTGTTTTATCTAGTTCTTTTACTTAAGTGGACAAATGAAGGCCCTGTAACAATTAGATTATTTGTTTATTTATTTATTTTACATTTTAAGTAATTTTAAGAATATTTTAATTAAAGGGATTTTAATTGCTCCTTAAAATTATTTCTGTGTTTAAGCCTAATGGAAAGGCAGGAAGAAAGAAAGAAAAATATGATAAACAGTATTTGTATGAAGCTAAAAAAATCATGTGAAAAGATGGGCCATGTGAAAACATCAAGATTCTCAACTACAATTCTAGACACTTTGGTTTTTTTGCAGTTACTTTTTTCTATTTGATTATCTAGTTATCATTCCTCTATCTGCCATGAAGAGTTACAGAGAAACAGAGAGAGAGACAGAGAGACAGTGAAACAGCAGCAGCAGGAGGAGGAGGAGAAGAGAGAAAGAGATCTTCCTTCTGTTGTTTCACTCCTCAAATGGCTGCAGCTAAATCTCCATTCAGGTCTTGTGTGTGTAGAGACCCAAGGACATGGCAAAGTTCCATCGCCTCCACAGGAACATTATCACAGATTAGGTTGAAAGGAGAGCAGGAGGGACTGTTTCTTAAACTTTTTAAAACAGGAGATTATTCCAAAAATCTCACGGAAGAAGGAACTAAAACAGATGGTGTGGCATAGCATCTGAAGTTACCACCTGCAATGCTAGCATCCCATATTGGTGCTGGTTGTTGTCCCACATACTTCCCTTTCTCTGCTAATGTCTGGATCAAAACAAGGGTAGACAGCCAAGGAAGCCCATACCACCTACATTGGGAGCCTGGATGAAACTCATGGCTCCTGCCTTTGACCTGGCCCACTCTTGGCAGTTGTGGCCATTTGGGGAGTAAGACAGTGGATGGCAGTTCATTCTAATTATATCTTTGTAACTGACTTCAAATAAATATGGGCTTTTATAAAAGATAATGTTCATTTCCTATGAAGATTTCAAGGACCTTGCATATGAACCTTATGACAATTCTATTAGGTATGTACTAAAATTATCTTGTGGTAAATGAGATTTCTTCTCTCTTTCCCACAACATACCTCAATGGAAAAACAGCTATGTTTCTATACTTGGACACTGCATCTCTCTGTGATTTCCTTTGGCCAAAGGACCAATTGCCGCCAAAATACAATGAGAGCCTTGAAATATACTTGTGCAGTTGGGCCTGCCTCCTTGAAATCCCATGTTTCATGATAAGAAAAAATGTCTCAGCAAATGAGACAAATTCAAAGCGAGACAAGTGGTACAGACTTGCATCCATTCTTAACCTACAGCAAAGTCCACCTAAGCACAGCCAGGAATAGACCTAATGCAGTCCACATGCAAATGACCTAGGTAAGAACGAAATATTTATTATGGTATGCTAGTCACAGGCCAGAACTGCACTTCAGTGAAGTTAGTCTTCCTTGCAATACTATGCATTGCATCTTATGAATTAAAACCACATTGTTTATTATTAGCTTTCTAGAATTCTTGCAAGGCAAGTGAACATTTGGGATTATTTGTTGTCAGTGACTTACCAACTATTTATGAGACTTAAATATATTCAGATCTTGTTATGGGTGCTGGGGTTACAGTGTTAGAGGTCTTCATATTCTTCTTCAAACACACCAAACTCACTCTTGCTTTAGGTCTTTGAACTTGGTCATCCATCAGTATGGAGCAGTTTTCTAGATAGGTACTGATCTATCCCCAGTGACTAAAATAGTTTCTTCCCCAAGAGTTCCACGGCACGGCTACGGGACTAACTAAATGAAGTGTACCCTAATACAGCAGTTAACAAGAAATAATATGTGGGCTTTAATTTGAAAATTTCATAGTACTGCTAGTAATAAACCTGGTACATCCATAACAGTGAGGAACAGGTGAGCAGGTTAAAATGTAAGGAAAATTAAAAAAAAAATGCCTGGAAAAATGTATGTGTATGTGTAACTTATAGCCTTCAAGAGGGATATATCAGGAGAGAAGGGTGCTTTAAAAAGTTGATGGGGCATGGAATGAAGAGATAATAATATTTTAGGTACAAACTATTTAGAAAGAAATGTATAGCTCTTTTCCATAATAGCATTTTCTATAAACTTTTTGATAACCCCCTCTCTGTAGCGAGCCTGTTAGAAGTAATACATAAGAGCAATAATAAAGTACAACGTTGCAAAGGCAATAACAACAAATGTAAGCTAAAAGTGAAGATGTTATGTCTATTACTATAGTAATATAATCTCTTAATACTCTTTTACAATTATCAGGTAAGAAAATGAAGCCCTCAAAATCTGAAAAACTTTGTGACTTTGAATAATGGTAGAGCTAAAGCTATTGCCTGGTTTTGAAATCTCCCAGTTTTATTTCCACTGTACCACACTTTATTATAACCATTGACAAATAGGCAGCATGTAGTGTTAAGACAACGAAGCAATACTACTGAGGGCACACAATCCAAGCAACAACTGCAACAGCTTTTGCTATCAGGTTTAGAACAGCATGACCTTCAGGATGTGGGGTATGAGTGAGTGGTACTAGAGGAATTGAAGAATGCATTACTAAGGCAGATCTTTCCAATCAGTGGATTTAACAATTAAGATCAGAAGTTGGCCAATTTTAGTCCACAGAGCAAATCCAGTCCATTTGCCATCTGTTTTAGTATGACGGTTAGCACAAGATGAATTTTATATTATAAAATGGCTCAAAAGTGTCAAGAGGAAAAAATATTTCATGGTGCCTAAAAATCAAATTAAAATTTCAGTGTCTATGAATGAAGTTGGAATACAGCCACATTTGGTTACTTATACATTACCTATTGGCACATCATAGTACAGCAAAAAGTTGAGGAGCTCCACAGATACTCTCTGGCCCTCTAAGCCCCAAATACTGATTATATGTTCTATACAGGTGACCTCTTAGAAGGTCACATAAGTGTTACAGGCAATAATGATATTTGTTCATAATTTTTTAAAAATAAGTAACTCCACTGTTGTTTAAATATTTCTTTTTAAAGTGGAATAATTGGAGTGCAATTGAAGCACAGGAGTGACTAATTCCCCCAGGGTCTAGAGAAGTAGTTTCTTTTTAATTTTTTTTAATTTACTTTATTTTTATTGAAAAGCAGACATACACAGATACAAAGCTTCTTTTTTTTTTTTTGCCTCCTCCATTAGAAAGTCAGATATACAGAGAGAAGGAGAGACAGGGAGAAAGATCTTCCCTCTGATGATTCACTCCCCAAGTGACCATAATGGCCGGTGGTGCACCAATCCGAAGCCAGGAGCCAGGAACCTCTTCCGGGTCTCCCACATGGGTGCAGGGTCCCAAGGCTCTGGGCCGTCCTCGACTGCTTTCTCAGGTCACAAGCAGGGAGCTGGATGAAAAGTGGAGCTGCCAGGATTAGAACTGGTACCCATATGGGATCCCGGCATGTTCAAGGCGAGGACTTTAGCCACTAGGCCATGTAGACAGGCCCGAGAAGTAGTTTCGTATCTCAGCTAGTCAGTCAACTGATCTCCTACACACCTCAGTAGGTTCTGCTATCATACAGATTTAATTATGTAATTGAGAGTCCTACAATTTAAACCGGATCACACAGGTGGTGGATTAAAAACAAAAAGAACTATTACTGATAACGAATATACTGTGTAAAGTCTGCAAATTTGTCTTAAAATGACAACTGGCATGTCTTTAAGTTGCATTTATGGAACTAAAAGGAAGTCTGAAACACCTTAAATTATGCTAATGTTACCTAAAACTTCTTATTTAGAAATCCTAATGAGCTTATTTAGGAAGCACAAAGTACAAATGATTCAAAAGTTCACATTATAAAAGCAATTTTGCACTTACTTTTGATGCTGTAAATGTATTCAATTAAATACTCAATTTGGCTTTAAAATCAATGGAATACTGTTTAAAATATTATATAACATTTTGTTTGCATTTTTTAAGAAGCAGAGAGACTGAATTACAGAGCTAGAGCTCTTATCTATTTTTTTAAACTTATTTATTTTTAATCATGATTACATGGTTGATCAGGGTGGGAATGATCGTGCTTTAGGAAAAATTTGGTGACTTCATTGCTTCCAAATTTGCTATTTCTACTCATTGTTCACAGGGATGGTGAGAAACAAAGAGATAAACCACTCACGACTTTCCACACGTCCCAGTATATTCTCCACATTTGCGCAAAAGGCAGTTTTAAGCCAGAAAGAAATTGGGAGCTGGAAAGTTAACTGAGGTCTCCCTCACAGGTGAGCAGGAAGCTGGATTGAAAGCAGAGCTGTCGAAACTGAAACCATGTTTGTTAGCCTTCTAAAGGTCCTCAACAGAATTTTAGTTGAAACTGAAGAGTGCTGAAAAGTCAATGTTCTTATTAGAATAATAGTTTTGATTTGTGTTAGCACTGTCTTAGTATATTTAGCTGTTAGTAACATGTGTCTTAGACTAGGTAATTTATAAATACAAATATATTGTTCTCGTTCTGGTAGGTGGCATGTTCAAGATCAAGGCATGGGAAGCTTTGTGAGCTGGTCAAAACCTGTTCCTCATGGGTAGCACCTGCTGTAAGTCTTCATTTGGCACAAAGTTTGAAGAGATACTTTGATATTCCTTATAAAGACACTCATCAGCCTGTGACGAGGGCTTGTCCTCATAATACAATTCCTGAAGACTGCACCTCTTGATATGATTTCATTGGAGTTTTTTTCTTTTTAAGACTTATTTATTTATATGGGAAAGTCAGATACACAGAGAGGAGAGACAAAGAGAAAGATTTTCCATCCACTGGTTCACTGCCCGAGAGGCCATAATGGCCAGAGCTGAGTCAATCCAAAGCCCGGAGCCAGGGACCTCCTCTGGGTCGCTCATGAGCGTGCTGGATCACGAGGCCTTAGGCCATCCTCAACTGCTTTCCCAGGCCACAAGCAGGGAGCTGGATGGGAAGTGAGGCTGCTGGGACACGAACCGGCACACATACGGGATCCTGGCATGTGCAAGGTGAGGGCTTTGGCCAGTGGGCTACTGCACTGGGCCTTTTTTATT